ATGGAATGCTTTTTAGAGTGTTCATTGTTGAAGTACTCATACTTGAAGTGACTTCCCTGCTTATTTGTTTATACCCCAAGCCAAGGAGAATTCCAGATTCTTCTCTTTATTTCAGATCTTGCATTCAACCAATCAGCAGTTCCATGTCAACATTTATAATACATTCTTTTTTAAGTAATAACTAATATATATTAAAATCACTGCATGTAAAATACACAGAATTATAAAGTTTAAATTCTTCAGGGCATTGAAATACTTTTATGCACGCCATAATTCTGCAATATTTGTACCTAACCCTTTCTTAATTCTTCTCTCTTACCTTCTTAGTACACCCTCGCATGTGTTCCAAGTGATTATCAGAGTTGCCTTCCTGGAGGAGGTATGATTTGAACATAAGCTTCAGAGAGTTAGAAAAATATTCTTGGTAAAGGGCCATAAGCTTATCTCTTAGAAAAAAAAACATAAACTAATTTCCCAGACTAGTGAAAAGTTTTTCTAGATGAAGTTTGGACTGCAAATTAAAGGATGGAACTGAGGTTATCAGGGACTTAGAAGGAAAGGATTCAACTTTAAGAATTTAACATTCACCATAATTGATTTTAAGAAGCATTTCTTTTGCTATATTGTAAATAGAACATGCCTAAATTTTATTTTTATTTTGTGTCATTGCACATCATATCTTTTGTTTCAATTATTATCTATGCTCATTTGTCATATGAGTTGTATTTTACCACTAATAAATAATAGACCATATTTGAAAATACCCCAAATAGGAAATTTCTTGATCTATCATGGAGGACATTGTTTCTTCATTTTCAATTAAGTAAGAAAACTTTATGTTAATGCTTCATTTTAAACTTGAAATTTAGTTTTTACTTGTAGAAGAGCACTAACTTCCAACTAGTTTCTAGTTGTTACAGCCCTTTATTTGTCCTATCATTAAAATAGCAAGTTATCATAGGAAAGGAGAGCATGCATTAGTGATACCTTGACAGACCCACAGTCTGTGCCCCTTGTAAGGCTGATGAAGGGTCTGCTGCACTGGCAGCCAAAATGCTTCCTTTTCTGGGTGTACAATTGTGTGGTACATTTTTCTGCTTTTTGTTTTTTTCCCCCATAATTTTATTATTTTTTCTTCTTATATTTATTTATTGAATCACTGTGGGGAAAGTTACTAAGCTTTCAGGTTTAAGTCTCAGTCATACAATGATCAAACACCTCTCCCTTCACCAGTACTCATTTTTCCCCACCAAGAACCCCAATATACTCGCCCTCCCAATGCCTGTGAGGCAGATGACTTTCCCTTAATTCTTCTCTACATTGATTACATTCATTGTTTTGACAAAAGATGCACCATCATTGTTTAGAATCCCCCCCCACAACAATCAGAATTGCTGAAAAGGCATTGTGAAATACTTTGTTTTCTATAGCTGGTTATGAGAATCATATAATCTGGTTATGAGAATCATAAATGCAATAGCGACCTCGCAAATTTGAATTTCTGCAAAGAGCCAGATATTTACGAGATTGGTTTCTGTGCATCTGGTGTTATGGCTGTGCTGGAGAGCTGCTTGTGGGGGGCAATTTGTGACCTCAGTAGGGCGTAAAGGAAGAGCCGGTACCACACCCCTTCCTGTGAGACTGCCATTGCCCCATCACCACCAGCACATACCTGGCTTTCCAATAAGCTCTGAGGCGGTGGCCACCTTGCTGCCGGGGTGGGGTAAAAGGCGGACGGTAACAACACCCTTTCCCTCCTGGGGAGGCATGGCGCTGTAGTTTAACACATGGTCCATTCACTTTTCTGCCGCAAGCTGCCGGGTTCTGGATTAAGTCCTTTTGCCTCTGGAGCCATGGTTGTGCCGGAAAGCCTCTCGTGGGGGCAACTTGTGACCTCCGTAGGGTGTGAAGGATGAGCCAGTACCACCCTCCCCCCCTTCCCATGAGACTGCAGTTGCCCCATCACTGCTGGCTCATACCTTGCTTTCCAATAAGTTCTGAGGCGGTGACCACCTTGTATGTGGTCCAGATGCATTTCTGCCAAAAGCCACTGGGTTTCAAGATTTGTTTCTGAGTCTCTGGGATCATGACCATTAATTAGCTTGATCAGGAGCCAGAGAGGCCATTTGTAGGCAGCGACTCAGAGTCTCGCTGGGATGGGGAGGAAGGGGCCGGTTCCACCCCCATCTGGTGAGGCCCCACATGTCTTGTCACTGCAGGCCCAAACCTGATTGTCCTGTGTCCTCTGGAGGATGGCGGTCACTGGACCGCCAGGGGGAACAGGCCAAGGCATGAAACCTATTCCCACCTGGAGTGGCCAAGCATCAGTAACCTACTACAGGCACAGGATGCATTTCTGCAAAAAGCCTTTGGATTCCAAGATTCGTTTCTGAGTCTCAGGGATCATGGCCATTAAGCAGTTCAATCAGGAACCAGAGAGGCCATGCCTCCAATTATATAGCTGAGCTGGAGGTGGTTTGTGGGTGTGTCTCCCACATACCTAACTTTTGGCCGTTTACTTTCTTGGTAAACTTTGCCCCAAGTTTTTGGGGTCTGGCCAAAGGCACAGCACCAATTTTGGGGTATCTGGAAGTCTGAAGGTGCCATCAGGCTGCTGATGCACTCACCTCACAGGTATAGATTGACCTGCTGGCGGCACCATACCCCCAGCTTTTTGGTTTTTTAATAAACAAATGCAAAGCTTGGTTCCTCCTCATGTCTTCCAAAATAGCTTGCCTTTTCCCGGTAGCATATGAGGTTAAATGATGTGGAGTATGTGAGTCCAACTGTGCTTGTGTTCCAAGGTAGTTGAGAATGGGAGTCACTCTCAAAACTGCGCCCTCCCCGCCCCCCCCCCCCGACAGAGACCACCACCCCTTGCTTCATCTTCACTTTTCTTTTTCAAAAAGTTACTGTTCCTTTCAGTCTTTCCAGTCTGACAGTTGATGCCTGTGACCTTTTAATGGGTATTTGATGTATAAATGGTACTTGAGTCTCCTAACTCTTTTGGCTTCATTTTTGTACTGGTTGTTTGTTTCTATCTTATTTTAATTTTTTTGAGGGAGGCCTTCCAAAGATGTCCTCAGGGGCCCATGAGAATTCCTAGTAATTTTCAACCAGCCAGACTGGTGGTTCATTGTGGTCCAGGATGTAGAGTGGCATGGGCTTGTGGTACCAGGGGTTTCACAGGCCATCCAGCACCAGCAGGTGCTTTAGCCCCTTTCCTGTCTTTCTATCTCCTCTCTTCTTGTTTTTAAAACCGGACTTTAATTCGCTTGTAAGTTTATAAAGCAACTTTTGGAGGAGGTTCTAGTAGCAAGCAATTATGATCATATTTAACCTTCTAATTCTCTTCTGTGATGAGTGAAACAGGAAAAGATGGGACGGCTTGGTACCTTGGTCCTTGACACCTTCCATTTAATAGATATTAAATGGAAGTATGAGTCTTTGCATTTCAAGTAACTAAAGATTAATAATAATGAGGCATCTGTGTAGAATGTGAATGGTTGAAGAATCATACTGAAGATATATGAAATTTCTTGTGTTGATCTGGTACTAATGGCTCTCATTTTTCTGTTTCTCCTCCCCTGATGTCCAGTGTAATTGTATTTTAATAAAGAGTGGATTAAACGAGTCAGTGGCCTGTGTGCAATAATGAACGCTCTTCCCACAAATCATCATTGCAGCTGTGTTCACTTGCAGCTCTCTTCATCACATTAAAATGGTCCAGTTTATTTCTCTTAACTTTGAAGTTTCTTTTCCATTAAAAGGTCAGATTTGGGTTAATTACCCCCAAACACATAATCTCTTGTGGAATCTTTTTTTCCCCCCACTTTTCAAAATGGTTGAGTTATGACCCTCATTAACTGTGATTGTACTCCTGTGCTGTGTTTTCAGTACTTATATTATAGGAAAAGTTACCCCAAAAAGAACAAATATTAGCAGTAAGAGATGTCACTGACACCTGGCATGTAATAATTGCTCTGAGAAACTCATGAACCAGTGATGAATGAATGATGGCTCACATTAATTACTTCCTCTGGAGCCCTTAGTCTAAGCACGTAGAATGTTTCCTAAGCAGTCCACATAGCAACTTTGTATGAACTGTGCTCCTCAGCCTGGATAATCAAGGTTATCACTGTCCCCTATCCCTCCTTTGTCAGTCCACTCAAATGAGAGCTGCCCTTCAGGTGAACTGTGATCAGTGGGCTGCTGCTTTTACTGCCTTTTTACAGTTTCACATCATATGAAGAATGCCTGTACATTTAGTGTGCCCAGACATTTAACTAAAAAGATAATAGAAGGAACTGTAAGAACTTATAACCAAAAGCAGATGTATGAGCATTAGTTTTTTACCTTAACTATTTTGTGTGACTTTCCTGTTCTTTTCCAAACACTGTCAGTATTTTTGGGGAGAGATATGATGGAGTTGCATTTGCTTTTAGGTTGAATAGGAGCACACAGATACATACATTTGGTATTCTATGTTACATATTAATTTATATTTTGATGAGCATAGTACCATCAAAATTTTACAAATACAATCTAAACTATATTAGGAATACAATATATTGTATTTTGTTTCAATCTGTTCTCTTAAGTTGAAAGAAATGTTTTGCCATTTTTTTTAATCTAAAATATGACTAACATGAGGTAGACACTCATGTAGTAAAACAAATTTAAAAGGAAATGCTTTATAGAACAAATTTAAAAGGAAATGCTTTATAGAACGGTGGGTAAGCAGTTGTCTTGCACACGGCCAACCTGGGTTCAATCTCTGGCATCTGATATGGTCCCCGAGCATTGTCATTAGTAACCCCTGAGCATCACCGGGTGTGACCCAAAAGGATTTTTTTTTAAAAAAAGTGATTGTTGAACATAGAGCGGTCTATAGTCAAGAAGTAAACACACACACACACACACACACACACACACACACACACCTAAAAATATAGTCTATTAAATTTTAATAATTGGAAAACTGTATTTTTTTCTTTTAGGAAGAACCCCCAGCACAAGATAGAATATAGACACGATGCACTTCCAAGTAAGTAATGTTACTTCAGCAAACTGAAAATGAAACTGTCAAAGTGATTCTCTTGGTAGGCCTAGCTACAATCTTCAGTTATGGTGAAGCATTTTTATTTTTGTTTCGGTAAAATATTTGAATTACTGATTTTAATCATTTTCTTTCCTCCCCTCCTTTTTTATAGAGGCACCATGATGTGCAATACTGTTATGGACAGTTTCACACATATGTATCCTAACATCCATCCACAACCATTGTGTCCCTGTCCCCCAACCAGTGTCCCATTGTCCCCTTCAACCTACTGCTACACCCTGTCCCCACCCTTGCTAATCTCAGTTTCATAGGCCAATTCTCAGGTTCTGCTGCTGTTGGTCGTTAGTTATTCCCTTTCTGTGTTTCTTTGTATCCCACATGTAAGAAAGAGCATTCTGTGTTTGTCTCTTTTTTTCTGACATCACTTAACCTGATGCCCTCTAGTCCATCTATATAGAGGCAGATTGCATGATTTCACTTTTTTAGGGAAACATCATGTATCCTTTATGTAGCACTGATTATATATAATTACTATCCAACAATATAGATGTATCCTGTGTTTATTTTTTTTGACTTAAAAAATTTTTTTTGTAAGCACCTGAAAATAAAGTCTCCACTTAGCCGTAATTATATTGAGAGTTTACTGATGATGTCTTTAACTGAAAAGATCAGAATGAAGATTGGAATTATACAGAATGTATTGCTTTGGCACATCAATAATGTTACTATCATCTTGCACCATTTTTTTTAGAAGTGCCTTTAGAACCCAAAACTGACTTCTCTCTTCACCAACTAAGTCTATAAACATGCTTATTTATTTATTATTTGAAGTTTATGTTTTTATTAATTTTTGCAAAGCTGTTCATGATTGGGTTTCAGTCATACAATGTTCCAACACCCATCCCTCCACCAGTGTACCTTCCAAGCACCAGTGTCACCCCTTCAAGTCCCCCCTCCCACTCCCACCTGCCTCTATGGCAGGCACCTCTCTTCTCCCTCTCTCTAGGCAGTTATTTTAGGCATTATGGTTTGCAATGCAGATGCTGAAAGGTTATCATGTATATCCCTTTGCCTACTTTCCATACTCTGTCCAGAGTGTTCATTTCCAACTAATATTGTCCATTTCCAACTAATATTGTCATAATGGACTCTCCTCTATCTTAACTACCCTCCACCGACTACACCCTTGTGGAAGCAATCTTATTTATATCTAAGGAAAGAGGGGGAATGAATAACTTTGACTCTTGCTGTTCCTTCAAAAACTGGTGAAGTTCATCATTTATTTTTCTTACATTTAATGCATTCTTGCTTTTAATCACTGTTTAGTGTGAACAACTTCTTTCTTTTTTTTATTTTTGGGGTTACACCCAGCGATGCACAGGGGTTACTCCTGGTTCATGCACTCAGGAATTACTCCTGGCAGTGCTCGGGGGACCATATGGGATGCTGGGAATTGAACCCGGGTCAGGCTGCGTGCAACGCAAACGACCTACCCACTGTGCTATCACTCCAGCCCCTAGTGTGAACGACTTCTGTCTCTTGTGTCTCTCTTCAGAACCATAAGGTTCCTAATAGAAACTGAGCGCTGAGGGAAAGAGAAAGACAGAGGGATAGGTATCAGGCAATTATCAACCCTGTTTGCACCGTTCTGTTGTACTTGCTGTTTCCCCTGTTTCCAAGTGTTTATAGTTCCCTCTCTAATAAATCTTGGTTTGTGTGTATGTTCTTTAACGTAGAGACCAGTTCAAACATATTTAACAATTACATTTCAGATAAACTATCCATTAGAAAATGCTATGAGCTCTTATTTAAATCATGATACAGTGTGGTTTATTTCTATGACATCTATTGAAAGTAACGGTTACAAAAATGCTATAATCATTGCAAATAGTTAAAAATCAATTAAGCACTGACTGCCTTATCTGCTATTTTTACCCATTTTGTGCCTTCTAATGCTCACTACCCATGATGTTCTCTGTATACTATTGGAGTCTTGGCTTGGGATCTTCTGTGATATGATTCCTCATGACTTTTCTAACACAGCAAGTGTCCTTCTATTCCAAGCTTTAAAACTTTTCTGTGTGGCAAGAAGTGGAATGGCAGAGTTCATGTGAACTTTATTAGTTTCATCACTTTAAATCCAGATAGTCAGATAATATGCTATATGCTTCAGCTTGCCCAGTGGGGAATACATGCATGGAGGTATTGTTCTTGCTGTCATTGCCCTTTGGCTTTCTTTGGCACAAAGGCATTTAATTGTTATTGTAAAGACAGGACTTTTGTTTCTAGTTAAGTACTAGTCATTTATTTCAGAACCCACTTCCTGTGACTATTCCCATAGTTCAGAAAATCATAAAATATTCTATATCTGTAAGTTCCACAGGTTCAGAACATTTTTATTTATCTGTTTCTTTCTTTCTTTCTTTCTTTCTTTCTTTCTTTCTTTCTTTCTTTCTTTCTTTCTTTCTTTATTTTGGATCATACCAGCAATGTACAGGGGTTACTCCCAACTTTGCACTCAGGAATTACTTCTGGTGGTGCTTGGGGGACCATATAGGATGCTGGGAATCGAACCCTGGTCAGCCGTATTCACGGCAAATGACCTACCCACTGTACTATCACTCTAGCCCCTCAGAATATTTCTAACTAAAGTAAGGAAAGTTTTATTATTTCAATGGCCCATTTATCTTGAAGGGCAGAAATTGCTTTCACCAAAAATACTTTCAGCAATTAAAGAAAAAAGTAGACTCCTTTATGGGTTTCTTTTGATTTACAGAATATTTCGTCACAAATTTGCTACACAAGGTTTTGTTAATAGATTCCACAAAGAAATCACATGCCATTATTTCACTGTATCACTGTCATCCTGTTGTTCATTGATTTCCTCGAGCAGGTACCAGTAACGTCTCCTTCAACCTAGCCCTGAGATTTTAGAAAGTGCCACATTTGTGGCTCTTTCGGAGTCAGGAGAATGAGACCCACTATTGTTACTGGTTTTTGTCATATTGAATACGTCATGGGGAGTTTGCCAGACTGCCGTGTGGGCAGGACACTTTTGGTAGCCTGCCAGGTTCTCTGGAGAACCTGGCAGGCCTTTATTTCAGCTTCTGCTAAAAAGTGTTAATTAGAAGTGTTAGTATCCTTATGTGAGGCTCTGGTTTGATCCTTGGCACTATTGTTGTTACAGAAGCAGCAGGCTTAGAAGTGCCATATCAACTACTAACAGAGAACACAGCTGAATTCTAGAGCTGACTTTGCTGGTGACATGAAATCAGATCTTCAGTTGCTTTCACTGAAAGCACAAAATTCTTTTTTTTTTTTCACTTTGTTATTGAATCACTGTGAGGTAAACCCTTACAAAGCTGTTCATGATTAGATTTTACCCATACAGTATTCCAACACCCACCCCTCCACCAGTGTACATTTCCCAGCACCAGTGTCCCCAGGTTCCCACCCATAATTTCCGACCCGCACCCCCTTCTCTCAATCTCTCTCTCTCTCTCTCTCTCTCTCTCTCTCTCTCTCTCTCTCTCTCTCTCTCTCTCTCTTTCTCTCTCTCTCTGCCCCCGCCCCCCTTTTGGGCATTGTGGTTTGCAATATTGATACTGAAAGGTTATCAAGACATCCCTTTACCTACTTTAACACTCAGCTCTTGTCCAGCGTGATCATTCCCAGTTATTATTGTCATAGTAGTCTCTTCTCTATCTTACCTACCCTCAGCCCCACACACACTTAAGGATAGTTCCAACCATTGATCTTGACCACAGAGCCAGGAGTAAGCTCTGAGCACTGCCAAGTGTGACCCCAAATCAAACAGAAATAAAATATTGTTTCTGAAAATGAGCCTGCCCAATGAGTATCAAAAGGCTTTATGATAGAAGGCTTTATGCAGGACTCACAGAGGCTGAAAGCCCATTTAATTGAAAGGAATTTTTAAAAAGTCATAAAATTCATTATATCAACATGCAGGCTAGAAATCAGAACTGTAGATTTTAATAAGGGTTTCGTTTCTATAAATTTAAGAGGTGTTCACAATTGATTTATAAGTGGTTTATTATATATCAATTCATGTATTTAAAAATTATGTATATATGCATATTAATTTCCTAGGACAGTTTAGTCTCAGAAGCATCATAGTAGGAAAAGTTAAACTAAGTAACACTGAGTTGTCATTTTAATCTTTCTAGAAGTTTGTAGTGGCTAGCTAGCTACTAAGTAAAAATATTCTTGCTCAAAGACATTTTATAGTAAGATTTCTAACCTTAGCTGAGTGATGGTTGATATGTTATATACCAACTTTTTTCTTATTTTTTATTAAAACACCATGAGATAAACAATTACAAAGTTGCCCATGATTGGGTTTCAGTCATACAATGTTCCAGCACTTGTCCCTTCACCAGTGTACATTTCTCACCACCAATGTTCCCAGTTTTCCTCCTTCCACTCCCACTCTCTGACCTCCTACACCTAGTCGGCCTCTATGGCAGACACTTTTCCTCCCTCTCTCTCTCTCTCTCTCTCTCTCTCTTTCTTTCTCTCTCTCCCCTCCTTCTCTATCTGTCTATCTCTATCTCCTCTGTCCTTTTGGTCATTTTGTATTCCAAACTTTTGTCTTTCAGTGAAAAGCGTTTCAGATGAAGACGATAATGTTGGGCAATCCAATGAGTACGATCTAAATGACAGCTTTATAGATGATGAGGAAGAAGAATATGAACCAACAGATGAAGATTCTGACTGGGAACCTGGAAAGGAAGACCAAGAGAAGGAAGATGTGGAAGAGCTTGTGAAAGAAGCAAAGAAGTTTATGAAAAGAAAAAAGTGACTCTTTTCTACAACAACTTATGGCTCACATTTACTCTTTACGGAAAAAATTTCAGGAACTGAGGAGGCACTTAAATGATTATTGTTCCCCCCTCCCCACATGCACACACAGACACTTTTTTTAGTAGCTTTGATTTTAATACTGATTTTTTGCAATGGCACATCACACTGAAAAATCAACCTTAGTGTTCCTTTGCTTTCTTTGTCCTAGTTAAAAATCATATGAAAATGGGAGAAGAGAGATAAGGACAAATAATCGATATTTTTCATGTATTTTTTATGTTGGTAATAAAAGATAATAGATTGTGCAAAACTTTGGTCTTTTTTCTTCTAAATGTTTTCTCTTTATGGGATACTAAGAAGTAGGCAAATTATATCATGGTGGGAAAGCATGTCTCTCTCATTGTTATTAACGTACTTCTTCAAGCAGCACCAAACTTTAAAAAATAATGGTCATCATATATATACATGTATGTGTGTGTGTATATGTGTGTGTGTGTGTGTGTGTGTGTGTGTGTGTGTGTGTGTGTGTGTGTGGCTGGAGCGATAGCACAGCAGATAGGGCGTTTGCCTTGCAAGTGGCCAACATGGCCGACCTGAGTTCGATTCCTCCGCCCCTCTCGGAGAGCCCAGCAAGCTACCGAGAGTATCTCGCCCACACAGCAAAGCCTGGAAAGCTCCCTGTGGTGTAATCTATGTGCCAAACACAGTAACAAGTGTCACATTGGAGATGTTACTGGGCCCGCTCGAGCAAATCAATGAACAACGGGAGGACAGTGACAGTGACAGAATACACACACACACACACACACATATATATATATATATACATATATATATATATTTGTACTAGTGTTTTCTAGAACTTTGTCGTTTCTTGGCTACTCATTCTTTGAAATACTAGGAAATATAAATATACTGAAGATAGATTAGATTAAACTATAGAAGAGAAATGCCATACAGATAATATTTTTGTGCTCCAAGTATGTAATTTACTATATATGATTATCTGATTTTAAAAATAGGAAAGCTCAGGGAATTTTATGGTGTTCTTAAAACTGGAGGTCCTCCTCAGTTATTTTTACTCATTATTTTCTCAAATCACATTAGTTTTTTTTTTTGTCAGAAGCTCTAAGTTGCAATTATTTAAAATTCTGACCTTTTATTTCAAAAGGTCCCTTCTTCAGCTTCATGAAGTATATATATTACTTTCATAAAATACTTTAGGTCCTGTACTAGTCTTCAGTGTAGGTGACTTGACATTTAGAGAAAGCAGAAGATATACTCAAAAATCACTAAACCAAAAGTATGCATATTAAACATTAATTTCTAAAAGAACATAACATTTCTGCCTTCAAGCAAGACATGTTTATTGCTTTGTTAATGTTTTTAAACCTATTTCCAGGTAACTGTAAAATATTAAAATGGTAGAATAAGAAATATTCATCTAGATAAGACAAATATATAGATAGATTGTCATTCTGACTTTGTCTCTGTTTTTTGGGGATTCATTTTTCTCATTTAATGTCCCTCTAGTCTTGGGTGCTTTTCACAACTCAGTAATATCTTTAAACTTTCTCTCAACCTATCACTGATTTAATCCTTAAAGTGTTCCTTTATCTATCTATCTATCTATCTATCTATCTATCTATCTGTCATCTATCTTTCCCAAAGGAATTTAAAACATGTACACGTAAAAACTCTCATGATATGTTCATAGAAGCATTATTTATATTTATTGAAAAGTGAAAATACTTAAATGTCCATGACTGTGAACAAAAAAAAAAAGTGGTTCACAAGACCAATTTCAATTGGGGTATTTATGGACTTTTTTCACACCAAAAAGCAGTGTTAGATACCTGGACACCAACCAGAATGTTTGAGAATTCAACTCAATTTTGACAATCTTTGAGGTAGTATCCGATTACACAGGGTAAGGGCTCAATCTCCCCAGACCATGCTTCACTTTCATACCCTGCCCTCAAGACCCAGCTCACTTGTACTTCTGACCAACTTGCTACAGATAAGAGGTCCCCGTTACCCCTCCTCAGACTTCAAGGGGCCACTTGTAAGCCCAGATTATTATGTGTGCACCTCTAGCTGACTCTAAATCAGTGGTTGCCAGGACACACTCCACTGGTTTGATTTCTGGAGTGTCCCACAAACCCTTGTATGTAGCAGATCAACAAAGTATTACAATATCTATAATTTAAAGCCAGAAAAATAAGAGAGGCATAAAACAAGGCATGGGGAGAGGGTTTAGCACTTTCATGTCCTCTCCCAGGGTCATTTCTCCCAAATATTTACTGATTTGGGAGAAGTCTCTGAAGTCCCCTTACCTTGTATTTTTAGAGAGACTTCATTACCTAGGCACGACTGATGAAATCACTGGTCACAGGCAATTGAACTCAACCCCTAACTCCTCTAATTTCTCTTTTTGGAATTGGTGATAGAACTACCTACAAGTTCCAGTCTCGATCCCTGTTGGTTTCCATTGTGACCAGGCCCTTCCTTTATTAACAAAATACAAAGTTACAATTCCCAAAATTTATGCAATTCAAAGTTTTGGGGAACTATGAGTCAGTAACTATAGCTACATATATACACACATATGTATATAAATAAAAATATATAGAAATAGATTTTTGTTGTCAGAATGACTGTGTGTATGTTCAATGAAATTTGGGGAGGTTATTAAAAGAACTGAAGTATTAATCTTGAAACATACCAAGTAAAATAAACCAGACATGCCACATGTTATATGAGCTATTTATGTGAAAAATTTAACCTAGGTAAAATGTTATAGAATTGATTTGTGCTTGTCTGGGGTTGGGGTACAAGGAAAAGGGAAGATGCCACCGAATGAGCATATTGTACTTTTTTAGTTCAATTTTAGCTATGGATGGGCTTCCTGCTGGCTCTGTGATCAGGGATTACCCCTGGAGGTTTGGGGGATGATATAGGGTGCTGGGGATTAAACCACGGTTGGCTGATTGCAAGCCAAGCAAGGCAAGCCCATATAGTGTTCATTTTTTAGCAATGATTTTTTTTCTGAAATTAATGGTGATCATTGCAGATCACTGTAAATATACATATAACCAATGGATTACGAAAAAGGTGAATTTCATACAATACGAAATGCTAAAATGTGGCACTTGTATTTTAGAAAAGAAAGCACTTAGTACAAAAATATATTCTCGGTAGCAGAGAACTCAGGCTAACTTTTCATTTTTAGGGATAGTTTGATAATACCTTTCATAATCATCCCAAAGACATTTTGCTTGTAAATATATAATGAATTGAATAGGGTATAATGAAACTTTGCCATTTGTAACGTTATTGTGGGGGTGAGAGAAAGTACTCTACTCTCAGACCTTGTAGGTGCTTTCCTTCTCCAGCTTCAGTATTAGGTGGAGGGGCAAGTGGAAAGCACAGAAATTTCTGAGTTCTGAAAATCAATTGGCTGCAGAAATGTGAAAGAGAAAGTTTATTGTAGGAACAGCATACCTACCAGAAGTGTAGGTGAGTCTTGGAGGACTAAAAGACATTTTTGTTGTTATTGCTGTGTGTGTGTGTGTGTGTGTGTGTGTGTGTGTGTTTAAATCAAGCAATAGCATTTATTTATTTATTTATTTATTTATTTTATTAGTGAAACATCATGAGGTAGAGTTATAGACTTATTTTTTGGGGTTTTTTTTTTGTGTTTGGGTTTCAGTTATACAATGATCAAATACCCATCCCTCCACCAGCGCCCATTCTCCACCACCACAGAAAGGGAGAATGTGCCCAAACTATGTTCAGGTGTTTCTGGGCTAGTCCTAGGCCTGACCAACTTGGCCTGCATTTCAGTGCTCAGTTAAGGATGTGGCAACTCAGGCCCTGATGTGCCAGGGACTACCTTGCCCATCCCAGTAGAGCCTAGAGGCTTCCAGAGCTGTGCCCAGCAATGCTTGGGTACTGAGTTGCGGGGGGGATGGGGGGGAACAGAGGAGAAACCATATGGTGCCAGGAATAAAAGTTGGGTATACCCCAAGCAAGGCAAATGATCTAGCCACCAGCCCTCCTACTCCAAGACTCTATTGGATCATTTCTTTGTCCAGGGTTAAACAATTTTGCTTGGATGTGTTATCTTCTGTTCTTGTCTTTTTTCACTCCTAAGGGGACACATTGAGGGTTCACCCAGTTGCAGACACAGATGTTCCCTGAACATGGACAGCCAAGTACCCGCCTGGTCTGAAACGGTTTCTTTTCATTAGTGTGATTTTAATGATTGGGCTGTTAATAGGCTGTTAAATATAGTTTTTGTAGTCATAAATCTTTAGGACCCCTTACTCATAAAAATTTAGTGCCTTCTTAAACTTGATCATATCTATGGCTCTTGGGGCATAAATTTCTAGTGTCTTTGCATTAAGATTCCTGCTTCTAAATCCTGATGATGGTTTTTGGCATCCAAAAGTCTTCAGTGCTTTATGTTAAGGCGCTCTCATAAAATTATATGCCTGGGATTCTAAATGGTCATTGCTTATGAGAGTTTTGGGGTTTTATAATCTTACTGTGTTCAGGATTTTTTTGGTTACAAATAATTTGGTGATCCTTTTCAAAATCTGTCTTCCATAAGCATGGTTGTGCTCAAGTTTCTTTTGGGTATTATGTCTCTTGAATCTTTCTGCTAAGACTCCTGGTTAATTCGAATTCCAACATCAGTAATTGAACTATATGAAAGTCTTTGTCTTCCGAAAAAAGAAAACTGATGATGACGTATCTTATAAAAGTCAGCCATGTGTAAAAGATCCATTCACAGGGTAAGTTAAATCTAAACGTAACTTAATGTGACAGTCTGTTAAGTCCTTCATATGGTTTCATATTTCACATTGCAGTTAAACTGTAGACTTTGGATTTTGGTGACACAGAAAGAAAAGTATTTATAATTATTTTTAAAATGTCTATTAAGATGCTCTATTCTTTTCTAACTACTTATCTGTGGAAGACCTAATATTTTCATATACATGAACAAAATGACAGATATGAGATAATAATTTCTATATTAAGTAGATATTAGATTTAACAAAAATGAAAGATAATGCGCTATCACAGTTTTTTCAATATAATCAATTGTTTCATAAAATATATTGTTATTGTTTATTGCTTTTAAAGGAATTAGCAAATAATATAAATTTCTTGATTTTAATTTCCCAAATGGTAAGTATCTATAGCTACAACCTTCAATAAACAAAATATATATGGAGGTCCTCAATTTGTGTGTGTATGAGAGAGCGAGATGGAGAGAGAGAGAGAGAGAGAGAGAGA